CTACAGTTCTTGAGGTGTACCGTAGATATCAAATACCTACGTACCACCCGAAGAACGTACCGAGATGACACCGAAATCTCCACAATCGAAACCTAATCCTGTAGCTGTAAACTACGTGACACGACTATACATTTCCAAACTGTCCAAAATATGGGACAATTCAAGAATTAATTGGACCGTAGTCGTGGTTTACCCACCCATGCACGGTCCAACTAACCTCGAACGGGAACTAAGCTTTACAATAAAAAATGTATGAAGTTAATTTCAATTAACTTCGTACATTGCCGTGCATAATTTAACAACAGAATACAAATATAATTTCACAAAAACAATATAGAAAGAAATTAAATTGATATGTTAAATAAATACAAAACAAATAAAATACCTTATTCAATATGTCCTGAACTGATTTGCAGCTGAGAAAATGGAGACAACGGAGATAGAGAGGGGCAGAAGCAGAGGCAAAACTGATTTTTCAGTTTGCCTCTGCAATGGCTGAAATGAATCTGTTAAAGGAGACGGCTTTGAGCGACGAAGACTTAATTCGTCGCGCAAATAAATTAGTCGCGCAAATTCCACTTCAGCGACGCGCAAAGTCGTGTCGACATCACATCTTTGCGCGACGAACACCATATTTCGTCGCACAAGGCAAATTCCGTCGCGCAAAATCGACTTGCGCGGCGCGCAAAGACGTGCCGACATCACACCTTTGCGCGACGAATCCATCATTTCGTCGCATATGATGTTAGTCGCGCAATAGAAAATTTCCGTCGCGCAAAAGCCCAGTTTGACACGCACGCAACCACGATAGCCACCTTGCGCGACTAATTCACCCTTTCGTCGCGCAAAGTTGTGGCGCGAAACATCTGGACACTGTTTGTTTTCCCGCTATTTATTATGCGCGACGAATAACATGTCGTCGCGCAAACAGTTGTCGCGCAAACGTGTTCATTTATAACATTTGAATATTTTGTCCCATTTCTAGATCTCTGAATATTTGTTATTTGCGATTTTTGGGGTATACAATCTCACAGTATATACAAACACGTTTAACGGTTGGATCGTTGAAATTAGTTTTCTATAGTTGAATGAACACTTTCTAGTTTCAAAACATATGGAGGTTGATAACCCTACAAAAAGATTCGTACGTAAATTGATAACCCTGAAATTTATTCGTATGGAGGTTGATAACCATACAAAAAGATTCTTTTCTACCATTCCCATAATTAAAAGGGTATGAATGATGATCTTCACTAAAATCAATGAAAAACATATGATTTAGATGGCAAAATTAAAATTAAGGCCTAGGATTAATGGTTTTGTATATCGTACTTTGCGCGACGGACAGATTTTGTCGCGCAAAGATGTCATATGCGACGAGTTTAGTCGTCGCGCAAAACATCCTGAATTTTCTCGCGCAAAGATGTCATTTGCGACGAGTTTAGTCGTCGCGCAAAACATCATAGCGCGACGAATACGTAGTCGTCGCGCAAACAGTTGTCGCGCAAACGTGTTCATTTATAACATTTGAATATTTTGTCCCATTTCTAGATCTCTGAATATTTGTTATTTGCGATTTTTGGGGTATACAATCTCATAGTATATACAAACACGTTTAACGGTTGGATCGTTCAAATTAGTTTTGTAGAGTTGAATGAACACTTTTTAGTTTCAAAACATATTTCGCGCTGTTCTCTTCGTAGGGAAATTGATAACCCTGAAATTTATTCGTATGGAGGTTGATAAAAATACAAAAAGATTCTCCTCTACCATTCCCATAATTAAAAGGGTATGAATGATGATCTTCACTAAAATCAATGAAAAATATATGATTTAGATGGCAAAATTAAAATTAAGGCCTAGGATTAATGGTTTTGTATATCGTACTTTGCGCGACGGACAATTTTTGTCGCGCAAAGATGTCATTTGCGACAAGTTCAGTCGTCGCGCAAGAATTAGGCGCCAGAATGTTTGTTCGCGGTTTTTTCCCCTTGTTTTACGCGACGGTCGTTTTTTTCTGTCGCGCGAAGTTGTTTTGCGCGACGAAATTTATTGGTCGCTCTATTTTGCGCTACGCATATCCGTCGCGCGATGATCTTTTATACGACGAAAGTTCTTCGTCGCTCTTGTTTGCGCTACGCATATGATTATCCGTCGCGCGATGATCTTTTATGCGACGATTTGTCCTTCGTCGCGCAAACTATCGTCGCGCAAATAGAAAAATGTAGTAGTGATTGTATAGCGGATATCTTGTATGAACATTGTTGTGCGAAATACTCTAAGACCTTGTTGTTGATGGACTACGTAACTATCACACATATGCAAAGATAAAAGCACACACCGAATCGAAAAGTAAACACACACAGAGAACACAAGAATTTATAGAGGTTCGGGGGTGTGCCTACGTCATCTCTAGTGATCCCCGAGAAATTCACTAGTATGAAAGAATCCCTTTGTTACAATAAAGAACCCCCTTGTTCTCTCACAAACCTTAGCTCTTTTTTCTCTCACCCTTGGCTCAAACCCAATTTGATGCCTTTGTTTTCTCTCTTGCACTTGTTAATTGAAAATCCTAGTACTAACTTGCCTATTAAATTGTAGCAAGAGCAGATGATTCATGGTCTTTTTCTTGTCCTGTCTTGTATAAATATGTGGCTTTGTTTTGGTTTTCTATCTGTCTGTGTGAATATCTCAAACACGTTACAAGGATGATGAAGAAGCATTTGAAAGGAAAGAATCCCATCTGAAGTTGAAAGGATATGTGTTCTAATATATATATAAAGGATGTGCCAAAATTAATACATGCTCATCTTTTGCAACATACCACTCTCAGTCATATCATTCACTCAAAAAGATAATTCACTTTTGAAAAATATGGTTTTGGTAAAAGTTTGACAAAGACACACATGTCTTGGCACATTAAAAGAAATCCGAATTATCAAAGATGTGTTTTTTGTGGAATTAAACAGTCCAAGCTTTCAAGGTCAAGCTAATACTTACACTATTAAGAAAATGGGTACGAAGGAAAAAAAAAATTATGAAATAGAGCCATGAAAATTATAAGTCACCACGTAAAGTTTGCTTAAGAAATATACAAGTCATCACGGAAAGTTTGGTTAAGAAATATCAAAAATTAAGGGGGCACTGTTCCTTCATTTCTTGTCCATGTCCCTCATCTAAACAGGCCCTAATTGAATTTTTAAGTACAAATCTTATGTCACAGTTCAAAAACTAAACTGTACAAATACGGTATTGAATATTATTAATTGTATTGTTGATTTTTTTTTTTTTTTTTTTAAAGGTGGTAGAGGCTATAAATGTTACCATTAAATTAACCTTCCCCACTAAATAAGTGAAGTGGTTTGATAATGCTTTTTGTATAAATTTATTCTCACAAATTATTTATGCATAATATTGTTCGAAACCATCAGTGCATTGAACATTTTGTAGAACAAGTTTCCACAAATATTATATATGATCATGGGAGTTCTACCAACCCGATGAATCAGAATCAACTAACTTTTATGCTAAACTATGAGAGTTCGAGAATTTCTGTAAGTTGTATTCGAGGTATATATATATATATATGATTATGTAGAATTTTTAGAAGTGTATACGATAAGAGAATTGTACAAAGGATTGGTCTACTACACTAGTTGGAGTGTTCCACCGATAGGAAAGCAAATTAAATAATTGAGTGGACATGGGAAGGCACGTTAATTACCATCTCAAGTCAATTTAAGTCCAGTCAAGACCTGCATTCTGGAATACAAATCTAGTCAGTTCAAGTCATTAAAGACTTTCTTTTTTACCCCTATATATATATTTTATAACCATATATCAATATACTTGCAGTGTTTGCATATGCTTGTGCTTTGGTTGTGCTCCATCTTTGACATTATATAAACCCTAAACAGTTGTGCCTCTTCATTGGATCGAGTTGATCTTGCATTTGAATATATTAACATATGCAGGGTCACGGGAGTTGCTTGAAACTCTATCTTGCATTTGCGCTACTTTTGCTACAAAATGTCAAAGGAGGAGAAGTTGGCAGCAGCGACAAGGATGCTAATGCGACCGGGACTTGCATAGAGAGGGAAAGGCAAGCACTCCTTGCATTCAAACGTGGCCTGGTGGATGAGTACAACAGCCTCTCTTCATGGAGTTCGGAATCCCATAAACAAGATTGTTGCAGATGGATTGGAGTCTCTTGTAACAACCAAATTCAACTTGATCTTGAAGGCTATCTTTCAAAAGGTAAGATGATTAGTCCTAAACTGATTGAGTTGCAACATTTACAACATTTGGACCTTGGATGTATTGATTTCAATGGGAGCCAAATTCCAGATTTCATTGGTTCTCTAACCAATCTAAGATACCTCAATCTCTTTTGGGGTAATTTTGGTGGTCAAATTCCAAGTCAGATTGGAAACCTCACGCAATTGCAATATCTCCACCTAGGCGGTAATCAGTTTAATGTAGAAAATCTTAATTGGCTCACTGGTCTTTCTTCTTTAACCGATTTGGACCTAAGCCACGTCAATCTCAGTAATATGTTCGATTGGCCAGAAGCAGTTAATAAGCTCCCTAAACTAAGACACTTGGATCTAGGGGACTGCAGTCTTCCTCCTCCTCCTCCTAGAATTCATTCCACTCCTTTTTCTAACATAAATTCTTCCACATCTCTTACACATCTTAATCTCAGAGACAACCATCTCACTTCTTCAATTTTTCTTTGGTTGTCCAACTACACTACTGCAAGCCTTGTTGACCTTAACCTCTCTGAAAACAATCTAACCGGTTTAATTCCCGATGTCATTGGAAACATGAGCTCTCTTGCAAATCTGGTTCTCTCTCATAACCAGATTGAAGGAGGAAACCCGAATTCGTTTGCTAGGCTATGTAGTTTGCAATTTCTAGAGATTCCAGGAAATCGTCTGAGTGGACAATTATCCAAGTTTGTTCAGCTTTTGCCCACATGTGCTCAAAATTCATTAGAGACTTTGGATCTCTCTCACAATGATCTTGCTGGCTCATTAACTAATCTTACAACTTTTTCATCTTTGCAAATCTTGTCTGTGAATAATAATCAACTGACCGGAAGTTAAGAAACAACAGTTTAGCTGGAGAATTGCACAAGTTTAGAAGTTATTGATCTAGGAAATAATAAATTATCATGACCAATACCTACATGGTTAGGGGTTAGCTTCAAGAATTTGGTTATCTTGATGCTTTCCTTTAATAACTTCAATGGAAGCATGCCCCCACAATTATGTCATCTAATACACATTCAAATTTTGGATTTCTCTATGAACAACGTCTCTGGAAGCATACCCAAATGCCTCAACAATTTGACTGCTCTGTCTCAGAAAGGAAATTCAAGTCTAACCAGCACACATTATTATAGGAAAGAAAATGATAAGATGGTATTTCCTGGTAATAGTTATGAGGATGATGCAACCTTCATATGGAAAGGAAGAATGTCCACGTACAAAAGTATTTTGGGGCTAGTGAAAAGAATTGATCTGTCAAGCAATACATTAACAGGGGAGATTCCAAGTGAAATCACTCGTCTTGTGGAATTGGTTTCTTTAAACCTTTCGAGAAACCAGTTAACAGGTCAAATAACTCCAGAGATCGGAAACTTGCAGTCATTGGATTCTCTTGATTTATCGAGAAACCGAATAAGTGGAAGAATTCCAACGAGCCTTGCTCGAATAGATCGTCTCGCTGTCTTGGACTTGTCATATAACAACTTGTCGGGCCAAATTCTAATCGGGACTCAGCTCCAAAGCTTTGATCGCTCTGTTTATGCTGAAAATCCTCAACTCTGTGGAGCTCCACTTCTAAAGATGTATGATGATCCCTCTGAGTACAGCAATACAGAGGATAAGGATGAGCTTATAACACTGGGATTTTACATCAGTATGGCGCTTGGGTTTGTTACAGGATTTTGGGGAGTTTGCTTCACTTTGATATTCAAGAGGTCATGGAGATACGAATACTTCAAGTTCCTGAATGGTTTAAATGATTGGCTTTATGTGAGAATAGCTTTGATCAAGCGGCAACTCAAGGATATGCTTAATTGATAAGATGTAAGTACATGAACTCTTATTTTTGTTTAATTTGGTTTTTATAATTAACTATATTTTCGAAACTTACGGGTGTTTGTATACTTGTAGCTCTGAGGCGACATCCATGCTTCACTTGACTTGAAGAGTGCACTGTTTGCTAAAATATGATATTTGGTTTGAATATGTTAGGTTCTTATTTTTATTCTTCTCTATAAGAAGGTATATATAAGAGTTTACATGAGTGCTTTACAAGGAATTAGATCCAGTAAAAGATTAGGAAAGTATCTCCTAATTATACAATGATTTGACAACTATATAAAATAGGAAAGTAAATCCCTTAATTAATCAAGGAAAGAAATCTCCTTGATTAATTAGGCGACTCACTTCAACACTCCTCCTCAAGTTGGTGCATATACGTCACAAATGCCCAACTTGGTAAGTGAGTCATGAAATTCGTAGCACCCGAGTCGATAATCCATGCGGATTTTTGAGAGGGCATATGAAAAGTATAACCTTTGGTGGTGTTGATAGAAGCACAAGTCCGGGTAGCCGGGTCAGCAGGATTGACCGCATGCTTCTGTGAGTATGCAAAAAGGGGAGAATCGTAGGGATTCCTGACATCGCAGCGGAAGTACAATGTGATATGAGAATGTGAGGGATTTTGATTGGAGGAATTTGATTTGAGGAATTTGATGTATGAATTGGATTTGAGAGGTATGTGTATAAGATTTGAGGAATTTGATTTGAGTATGAGAAATTTGAGATAAGGCATTTGAGGACTTTAGATTGGAGGGATTTGATTTGAGTATGAGAAAGTGGATTTGGTGGTTTTGGAAACGATATCCATGGTAGCGGAAGGATTTAAGAATAAGATAAAAA